ATTTATTAAAACAGTTGGGAGGTGTGTGACCAATGTCATCATATATTATAGATTCATGCATCTGTCAGTAATCATTATGATACTTTATCATTTTAAGAAGTAAATTTATAATTTTATCTCAAAATCATGTCAACAAAAAACGTACCAGTCTAACAGCATGCATGCAACATTTGTATTGTTATTGCGTTTACATGTTGTAACTCGTCGTGTTTGGTATCGAACAAGTTTTGCTTTCGTTATGGAGCAAAGACCTTTTGTAACAATCTTAAATTTTGCATCAGAATGGGCGGAAATGAATCAGGTTTAACATTGCGATATCAACTTGTATAGTTCTTTCACCTATTTTGTTCGCGATAGCGTAATACTAATATGCAGTCTAGACGTTTAAAAATTGATAAGGCCGCCAGTTTCGGTTGTACGAAACGGATAAAATGTGGTTTACAAACAAACGAAATGAAACAAAAAGTCTCTATTAGTAAAACTTTTTTCATTAATACCTGAAAGCTCTAAAATACAAATCATTATATTTTTCGTCAACTTCGATTTATATGGATTAGGCTGGACTACAAAAATAGTAGTACGATTTTTCTTGACCACGCGTTCTTATGAGCCGTGTGACCAGTCGTTCTGCACTCTTTTTTCAACGTTGATATGATATTCGATCGTGGGAAATCTTCGTTGATAAAATCAATATTAAATGATCCATGTAAGTAACTTTTGAGACCTCCATGTAGCCGTGTCGGCTGGCATATCATATTACCGTTTAGCTACCAGTGCAGTTTCAATTATTATTGTTTTAAAAATGACTGTTAACTAGCGTGTAAGACATGCACTTGTTTATTTACGGATCGAAATTGTTTTATATACGGGCTAGTTCCAGTGCGCTTTTTGTTATTATGTTTATTGTATCCGAGCATGCTACTACATAATAACATACAAGTAATATTATGTCTTGTTGTTTAAATTACACAACATGTGTACGTAATGTATATATTTATACATACAGACATGCGATACATATGTACCGTGTTTAGAACGATTATTATTCGAGATCGATTCAGTTTCGAATATAGGTACGTATGTGTAACAAAAATCCATGATGGCGTCGGCCGCGGTTCTTTCACCTCGACCAGATGAAACAGTCTGAATAAACCATGTAAAATAATCCATTCTTTAATGAGCAATTTTAATAAACAGCTGCTCCAGATTACGTAACGTCTAAATGTAACGGTGTTCAAAATGGGTTGAACATCTATAATTGTTGCAGTAGCATTCTTGTTTTATAATAATGTGTACATGCATGCAGTAGGGGCCCTGGCTCTTCCTCAAAACATACAAATGGCAAATCCAATAAATTTTGGTAATACAAAGAAATATCACAGTATAAAACAGCAGTTGTTTTATTCAATTTTATGCCTCTGTTATTTGGAATCTAAAACCAAATATATCTGCCTTTAAACGTCTTTGATAGAACTGTCTACATCTGTTGGGTATCCGGCCTCATTATCCGGTACCCGGCCGGATACTAAAAATGTGCTGGAGTTGCTGGGCTCCACCAAATCCAATAAATTTTGGTAATACAAAGAAATATCATACCATAAAACAGCAGCTGTTTTATTCCAATTTTATGCTTCCATTTATTGGAATCTAACACAAAAATATCTGCCTTTGGTAGAACTACTCGGATTTACTTAGTATCCGGCCCCATTATCCGGTACCCGGCCGGATACTAAAAATGTGCCGAAGTTGCTGGGCTCCACCAAATCCAATAAATTTTGGTAATACAAAGAAATATCATACTATAAAGCAGCAGCTGTTTTATTCCAATTTTATGCTTCCGTTTATTGGAATCTAACACAAAAATATCTGCCTTTGGTAGAACTACTCGGATTTACTTAGTATCCGGCCCCATTATCCGATACCCGGCCGGATACTAAAAATGTGCTGGAGTTGCTGGGCTCCACCAAATCCAATAAATTTTGGTAATACAAAGAAATATCATACTATAAAGCAGCAGCTGTTTTATTCCAATTTTATGCTTACATTTATTGGAATCTAACACAAAAATATCTGCCTTTGGTAAAACTACTCAGATTTACTTCGTATCCGGCCCATTATCCGGCATCCGGCCGGATACTAAAAGTGTGCTGGAGTTGCTGGGCTCCACCAAATCCAATAAATTTTGCTAATACAAAGAAATATCATACTATAAATCAGCAGCTGTTTTATTCCAATTTTATGCTTACATTTATTGGAATCTAACACAAAAATATCTACCTTTGGTAGAACTACTCGGATTTACTTAGTATCCGGCCCCATTATCCGATACCCGGCCGGATACTAAAAATGTGCTGGAGTTGCTGGGCTCCACCAAATCCAATAAATTTTGGTAATACAAAGAAATATCATACTATAAAGCAGCAGCTGTTTTATTCCAATTTTATGCTTACATTTATTGGAATCTAACACAAAAATATCTGCCTTTGGTAAAACTACTCAGATTTACTTCGTATCCGGCCCCATTATCCGGCATCCGGCCGGATACTAAAAATGATGCTGATACCTTTTTGGATATTACCACTTCAAACTAAACGAATTGTAAATATTGGCTTAATTCTCGTTATGCCCTTGAAAAATGGTATGTTGCTTCATCCCCAGTAGCTTTAGCTACGAGCCGCCACTGATTTTAAGTATACCTAAGCTGCTGCTGAGTGGGAAGTCAATCTTATTTACGTCACTAATCGTTTATATGTTTGGAATGCAGATTTTATGTTACATTTCCATTCAATTCAATTTGGCGAATGTAGCATTTTAATTGCTACAAGTTCAATATTGTAAGATACTTACATTTAATTACGTAAACGGGCAAACAAGTAACGAATTAAAAAGTAAATTAAGTCAATCTAAGGCAGTAAAAACCTAATATCCGGGTATTAATCATGGGCTTACATTTTAGAGGTTTCCCACTTCACAATACCAAACAATGTTATCAGGCTATCACTAACCAAAATCTATATTCACTCTTTAAATGTAGCAATTATAAAATGTGACTCATTTGTTTATGTGGTATACACTGTTAGTATAGGAAATATTTATATGCCACTTACTGCACTTTTTAAATAGACTTTATACATTTAGACAACCGAAGTGATAATAAAGTAAACTAATATGTTGCCTAAAAATCATCGGCAAACTTATTAGTAACTAGTCAAAAGTACAAAATTTATCAGTGGCAGATAATTTAAATACACATAAAATATACTTCTATTTTGTAGTAACTTCTAATTCTAAACATTCATATTATAGCAAACAGTACTAAGATACAGGTGTGAATGTACTAAAGTTTAAGTAGACTTGGGTTGTTATCTTATTTATCTACTTATTAATCAACGTGTTGAAATATTATATTTTAAATTAGTTAATTATTATTAAAAATAGTTTCAATTTTTTTATATATGTATATTACACGTAAATCCGGGATAAATTGCTAAAAGCTTCTTCTTCATCCAGTAATGCAGTATGTCACATGTTCAGTTAGTGGCGCCGAAGGCTACAGGCAGTATATGACTCAAATGATAAAGTACAGTAAAAAAAATAGTTTCAGTTAGATATTTGATATCATTAAACATATCTCATGAGTTAACCCTGGTTAAACTTCTAAAAGCTTCATCTACTCAGTGGTGCAGTATGCCACAGGCAGTATATGACTCAAGCGATAAAATACAGTGAAAAAAAAATAGTTTCAGTTAGATATTTGACATCATTTAACATATATCTTGAGTTAACCCTGGTTAAACTTCTAAAAGCTTCATCTACTCAGTGGTGCAGTATGCCACAGGCAGTATATGACTCAAGCGATAAAATACAGTGAAAAAAAAATAGTTTCAGTTAGATATTTGACATCATTTAACATATATCTTGAGTTAACCCTGGTTAAACTTCTAAAAGCTTCATCTACTCAGTGGAGCAGTATGCCACAGGCAGTTATATGACTCAAATGATAAAATACAGTGAAAAAAATAGTTTCAGTTAGATGTTTGACATAGTTTAACATATATCTTGAGTTAACCCGGGTTAAACTTCTAAAAGCTTCATTACTCAGTGGTGCAGTATGCCACAGGCAGTTATATAACTCAAGCGATAAAATACAGTGAAACAAAAATAGTTTCAGTTAGATATTTGACATCATTAAACATATATCTTGAGTTAAACCGGGTTAAACTTTTAAAAGATTCATCTACTCAGTGGAGCAGTATGCCACAGGCAGTTATATGACTCAAATGATAAAATACAGTGAAAAAAAAATAGTTTCAGTTAGATATTTGACATCATTTAACATATATCTTCAGTTAACCCGGGTTAAACTTCTAAAAGCTTCAACTATTCAGTGGTGCAGTATGCCACAGGCAGTATATGACACAAGCGATAAAATACAGTGAATCAAAAATAGTTTCAGTTAGATATTTGACATTATTAAATTTATCTCTTGAGTTAACCCGGGTTAAACTGCTAAAAGCTTCAACTATTCAGTGGTGCAGTATGCCACAGGCAGTTTCACGTCTTTCATTTAGTGGCACCGAATGCCACATGCAGTACATGGTTTAAATGATAAAGTATAGTGAAAAAAAATAGTTTCAGTTAGATATTTGACATCATTAAACATATATCTTGAGTTAACCCGGGTTAAACTTCTAAAAGCTTTATCTACTCAGTGGTGTAAATCGGTAAAATTTTTGGAAAAACAGAAACTGTTCAGTATATTCAGTTGATTTAAAATATAAAAAAAAAGTACTTCTTAAACTAATTGTAACTATAAGTATGAAAAAAGTAAACTATTTTTTAACAAACATCTCTTAAAGAATCTTCACAGAAATCAATTCCTTTTATGTATTAGATATGTTTATCATACGTTTTTTGGCAGTCTCTTGCCAATTTTAGTAATCTTTGACCAATTATTCTTTATTAAAATTGAACATACACATTTGATCGTGTCATCTTACCTGGGATCGAGTAAAAAATGATGACGCAAAATGGCACAAAAATAACAAACGAAATCACCAGGAAACAATTTTTTCTCCGTAGAGATGGCGATGGAACATTGGTTAAAACCATTTCATTCGTACGAGAACAGGTCACAAATTAATTAATTAACGACAACATTAAAGACAAACAAACAAACAACAACACACGTCTTTTCAGTTTTTCGTATTAACAACAACAACAACAACGGTAATTATTATAATACTGTTTCGGTTAATGCATTCGCGTAATGTTTTTATAAACTAATGCGGCGCAAAGTGCGATTGTAATATTAATCTAAAACTACGAGAGCGCGATCAAGGTTTACTTGATTTCCACCGTCACCACGGCGACGACGAAAGGCAAAGGTGACTACGACATCGTGGTTTTCACCGGGTCACGCCGACAAGCTCACTGCTGGTGGAAACGGAATGATCGTGCAACGCCTGTTAGATCTAAATATATAGTTATTGTTTTAGTTTCTTGCGCAAGCTCCGACAAAATATTTCTTTCCATTCAGTAGGTGCAATAAATGTTGATAATAATGATGATGCCCGACCGCAAGAACAAATAATATTAAGAAAAAATTGAATCCTTTCGGAAGATTTTTCATTACATTTCAAACAATCTACTCCTTTAGAGTCAATCAATTGATCCTGTGGCTGAACCACGCGCACCCCTTTTGTCTAAAAGGACATAGGACCTGGGCTAACATAAGAAATCTTGCCAGTTTACTCAAAAATTTACACGTACACACACACTAATATTTTTTATATTTACATAAGTCACATTTGACTATGGACAACCACAGTATTGACTTAAAGGACTTGTCAACAATTTAACCCGGGTTAATACGAGAAATCTGCTTAATGAAGTTGAATATCTAACTCAAAATATTCCGCTTCTAATAAATTTTATCATTTAAGCCATCAGTAACGTAGTCTTCTTTGAAAACCACATAAAAACGTTGAGGAAACTATAACCCTGGCTTTTAATTAGACGAAAACTTATACGTATTATCCTTTTCACTGTTGTTAAGGACGCAAACCCTGTTCGAAAGTATTAAATAAGATTAAAAGAATCTTAATTGGTCTAAGGTGGTCCACAACATGCAGATTACTTCGTTTTTCCTTTACTATTTTAATGGAGTAGATGACGAAATGCAATCTAACCTGCTCTAAATAGCCTTGAACTTAAACTATTTAACTCGGTTTAACATTAGAAATCTCTTCCCTATTGTTAAATACCTAACGGTGTAATTTTATTTATTGTTTAATAACGTATATAGCCCAGTTTAGTTACTGGAAAATTCGTTTCAATTTTCTGCTTTCAATAAAGTCTTCGTATAGCGTTCTAATGCCTATTTTAGTCTTTAATAGTTGTGTGTTTGAAAGGCATTCGTCTATTTATAGATAGCAGTGGTAGTAAGTATTAATGTCGTCTTTTTCTCTGCCAGCCAGTCAATGTTAAATTAAAAAGGTTAATAGGATCATGTTTCAAAACGCATTATTAGTGCAGATGTTTGTTTGTTAGAAGTGTCTTTGAAATCACCCTTATTATATTTGTACATACAGTAATAAGTCAATCAAGGAAGTTACTTAAATTTGAAAAATGGTATTTCGAGCAGTTTTTAGACAATGGTACAACTTAAAGGACTATTATTATATTTAGAAGGCCTTAATCTGTGATGTGTGAAAACAAACAATTTAAAAACTAATTTAAATGTTCCATTATTATTTTATTTATCGTTACAATGACAATGACAAAACTAACGGCTGACGAAAATAATTATTTTTTTTATAATCACAATTGTCTTTGTACGAATAACAATGGTCTTTCGTTTAGTTGTAGGCACTAGTTCCTTTTTGGAATATTAGTCCAAATTCGGTTCACTTATTAGAATTCTATTTATTTATTTATTCAACTGAGCGTCGTGGTAAATTGAATATGAATGGATTCGTAATTACAATGAGAACTTTTTTTAAAGCATTGACAATAATGATACACATACAGATTGACTGTTTCTGTATGGTTTGCCTTTAAAAGAAAAGATTCTGCCTTAATAAGGGTGGCATCCGATAGATTTCATCTTCAGAAGGGCGACAAAGTTCATGAAAAAGAATAAACATATATCATTTAGAGACTGGACCCCACCTAGAAGCGTGCGCATAAAATCAATTGTAACGTTCTGGAAAATCTTTGAAAGCTGCTAGATGTCACTAAGTGCAAGGATCGTCATTTAAAAATCACACCCTTCAAATGAAAATTAACGAAACAATCACCAGAGTCACGTTTCGTCAAGTTTGTTAAGACATAGGGAGGTCCTTCGTGATTTATTTTACATTAGTAAGGATAATTACGAAACATTGAAGCTATGATAATATTATAAGGTGGAATTAACATGACTTAAAAACAAAATTTATGTCAAAAGCAAAATATCTAGTAATAAAAAATACCCTTTTACAATCAACGTACAAGGTATTTAATGCGTGTAAACTAATCTTTTGATGTTAAATTCATTTATGATAAGAAAATTCTAAGTACAGCTCATTTCCTGCTTAGTCAATATTATATGATGTAGATATCGAGATAATAATTGATAATTGAAAGCTATTAATCATTTTTCTTTTTTTTGCGTATGTGTGTGTAGAAGTTGTTCATACGAAGGTAAACTATTAACCTTTAATGTAAAGGGAGGGCTTTTTTTGGTTCCTGTAGGCGCTAATGACTACATTATTTTTGAGACTTTGTTAGTTTTTCTTTTCTGGAGTGTACTACAGACAACAGTTTTCAGGTCGAATGTAGAAGCCAAAAAAAAATTCAAATAGAAAGAACAACTGTAGGGATAGATGTGCAAGGGCAAACGATTAGTATGCTTAGATTTGCAGATTATATAGCAGTATTAGCATCTAGCAAGGAGGAATTAGAGATAGCTTTAAATAAAATGGAAGCGGTCCTGACAGATCAGTACTGTATGAAAATACATAAAAGTAAAACTAAAATACTGGTATGCAAGGGAAGAAAAAGTAGGGAAAGAGCGAATATAAAGATAGAAGACGAAAAATTAGAAGAAGTGGCTGATTTTAGATACCTAGGAAGTCAGATAAGTGAGGATGGAAGGAGTAGTAGGGATATAAAGCAGAGGATAGCGCAGGGTCGTGTCGACTTTAATAAAAAGAAGTCACTTCTATGCTCGCGAACCGTTAATTTAGAAACTCGAAAAAGGATGATAAAAGTGTATGTTTGGAGCACGGCGTTGTACGGGTGCGAAACATGGACAGTGGGCGCGGCGGAAAAGAAAAGGTTAGAAGCGTTCGAAATGTGGTGTTATAGGCGGATGATGAGGATATCGTGGGTAGAAAAGGTTAGAAATGAAGAGGTATTGGAAAGAATAGGAGAACAGAGGACTCTAGGGAGGTCAATAAAAAATAGGCGAGATAGGTTGGTAGGACACCTTCTCAGGCATGAAGGTCTAGTCAGAGACAGGAGTTAGGAGGGGTAGAGGTAGACCTAGATTAGATTACTCTTCGCAAATAGTTAAGGATGTGGGCTGTTCTAGTTGTAGGGAAATGTGATGTTCAGCTCAAGACAGGAAAGAGTGGAGGTGCGTGTCCAACCGGTCTTAGGACTGACGCCCTTATGATGACGATGATGAGAAAGAAAAGATATTTGATCAGTATCGATAAATAATTACTTTAAAAAATCGTCCTGTTTTGTTTTTTTTGTCATAAAACACAACGACAACAACTAAAAATACAAACAATTATTAATTATTTATGTACCTCTATATTTTGGCTAACGTTTACCTATATACTCTCCATTTCCCCCACATATCAAAGACATGCAATAAAATAACCGGGAAATAATATTTGTACTTAATCCTTTGTAATCAACTTTCTTTAATTGATTAACCTTATGATTCTACAAAAGATAAAAAACAATTACAGATTATCGTATCATGTAAAACGTACATTTAGTAAGTAACTCGTGGGAAAGAATTATTATTATTATTACAGGATTAAGACATTATTGTAATGAATGTCCTGTCCTATTTAGTTCCGAATATAATCGTCGCTGTCTCGTGGTCACGAAGTATAACAATAAAAGGTACACAGTTACTTATTATATATTAGTTACTTAAGGAGCCGAGGGGGTTGAATCGGCTCTTTTCATTTTGTACCAAGTGCGTTTTCTTGGTGGTATTCGTCAGTCGTTTTAAGGACTGCGTGTAGGATAAAGTAATAACCATGAAAGCAACGGAAGCAAATTCAGTAACTGAAGAGGCCGAAATGTTCCAGGTAAATCAACTTAACAATTCCCTCGGGACTGCGTTTCTATATTACGAATGTATTTATTTAACTTAGTCAGTCATCGGGTGTTTCGCGGAAATTACATTTGATACCTACGTATAAATAACAATATAATAAATGTATTCCCAAGTGACACGGCGAGATACACTGGGGGAATGAAGACGGGACTTTTCTTTGATTGATTGATTGGTTTGGTTAAAGAAATGAAAATGTTCGGCGCGTCGGGACACGTGCGGAAATTGTAATGGGCCGGCTTTATCTCAACGAAAGGATAGAAGAAAGAACGAAACAAAACGGGAGAGATGCGACAGGGACAAGTTTCAATTCGATGCCTTTTGAGTCCAGTTTTCATTTTAAAATGTTAATATAAATACATATAATCACAAAAATAGTTTTTCACAATTTTAATTGTATGTTATGTACCTAGTAATTACTAGTACCTATGTACCATGTAGGCAAAACATTCGCCAAACATAGAAATTACATATTTCTTTGTTGACTTTTCTGGGAAGACATTGCATATCGCCTTTTCTGACTCCAAGTACCCTAGGTCTAAGAAAATTTGCCTAATAGTTCTGGTAAAGCTGGACAAAAATCGGATATGTTAGTGGACATCTCTCTATCACTATTTGTGAACAATAATGTAATCTAGTTCCACCTCTACTCCTCTTAACTCCTGTTTCTGCTTCCCATATATCTCAAAATTAACGCTTCATGTCTGAGAACCAACTTATTTCTTTTTGATTTCCATAATAGTAACCTCTGCATTTGTATACATATACTATAAGTATTTTAGATAATTCGACCGCAATGACAATAAATTTTATAGGTTCTAAACAATGGTTAATACTCTTTCATTAACACAGTAAAAAAAAGACTTCTAATATACTTGGTGACCTGCAGAATCCACAGCGCATTTGGCCGATAGTTTTTAAAAACTTTAGATTATGATGAAATTAAGCATTAATAATGATTTTTGTTTCAGGTACATATCAGTTTTATGTCGCATGGTGCTGATAGTAACGATACCGATATCAAAATTACTGCTGGCTTAGGGAAAATGCCTTTTCGAAGGCTTCCTTCTATTCATAGTGGTGAGTGAAATACTTACAATCCTTAAACAAGGATTATTAACTGCATCTTGCAACAAATATGTCGTAAATAATAAAACTATAAATTCACAAACGAACAACAAGTCCTTTATTGTATTATTTGGGTGTTAACATTTTGAATTTCCTAAACTATTTTTTTTAAAAGCAAACAAGGATCTTGCTAGATCCTTGCGGAAAATGGTCTATTGTCAAACATTCTGAGACTTTTGATCTAGAATCGAGAACTACCACAATCCAAAGTTGACAGAGAACCATTTTCCGTAAGGATCTATCGGGGTCCTTTACATCCTACCAGGTATGAACATTTTGAAATTTTTTTTTTATATCTAAAAAGTAGAAATATTAATCAATAATATACAATGAGAAATTTATTTTGGAAAAAATACTTTTTAAGGCGACCAGTGGGTGACAAAGAAAATAGACCCTGTAATGGAAACGCGTTCTAACGGGCAAAAAATGTCCCAGTACAGGGTCACACTAAACGATAAGGAAAAGTACCCTAGCAGACAGGGACCAAAACTGAACATCTGGAAGTTACCACCCAATGATGGTAATAGATTTCTTATACTAAATATGTTTTGTGTGGTTGTTTCTTGATGTGTGCTAATTGCTTATTATTTCGCTTCTTTTATTGCTTAGATAATCTTGTTTAAGTTGCTAATTATTAATTACTTCCATAATATTTTACATTCATGGAGAAACTTTATTAATGTTATTACTTTGAATTTTGAATTTGTCGTTAGTACACATGTTTACTGAGCACGTGTCATAATATAATAAGTATCAAGGAACTTCCTTGTTGGTAAAATAGAAAAAGTGTGTCAAGTAACGTACATCAACTTTGTTTCTAAACAAAACATAGCGAGAATGTACGCAAATTATTTTGCAACAATCTGCTAAAACCGCTGCATAGTTTGAAGGTGTTATCGCTGCTTCAATACGTGAAAATTATTAATGTTACGTAATTGTTCATGGTCCATCAACAAATATATTACATATCTACCAACAATATTTCTTGTTATGGTAAGTTATTGGTTTTGTAAGTATTCTGATTGCATTTGTACCTGTATTACTCGTAACATTACAAAACAATGATTTTCATTCGAAGAAGTAGGCGTTAAAGTCCTTTACAGAAATAAGTAGTACCTAACTATTTTCTGAAGAAATTTCAATGATTAATTTTTTGAAGAAAAGTCAGAAATGGGGCGCTGCTGAAAGGAAAAGGTTGAGTTCTGAAGTTATAGGATGATGTTAAAACTAAAATTGTCGCATTTACTTTCTTTTTTCAACTTACTAACTAGACTAGAACAGTTACTGTGAAACACCTACTTTTACTTACGACAGACGCTGTAGCTGTAGGGTATATCATGAACATAGAAAAGAGATGCCAGGAAGGAATTGCAGCGGTCACTAAGAAAGAAAAAGGAATAACATTACATCAATTGACGTGTAACAGAAAGAGATGCAGACAAGCAAAATTTGAGCATGTTGCTAGCATCGGACTTTAACGAATGTTCAACATTCTCAGGAATTTAAGAAAGCAAAGGCGTTTGTTTAAAGATATAATTCCAACCAGGCAGTAATAAAGCCGACCCTGATTTTTTTTTTATGTTTTCGTGGAAGAAGGCAAATCTTCAAAAGACACCCAGCCCTTCGTACGACTGTGTAGCGTCGGATTCCCGAGGAAGAAGTCCTAGGACCTACCGACTAAAACCCCTCTACCTCGGGCCGTTCTAGGACCAACTAGGGTCCTCTTCAGCCGCGACCCTGATCTTTTGCGTACCTAAGCAACCTTTAACAACTGCACCGCTTACTATTATTGGATCATCTCTTTTCACATTGTTTGGACTACTCATGAAGCATTTCCTAACTTACCAAGGACGTGTTCCAAAAGCAGCAAATGACTACAGTTCCAAGTGGAAACAAGAAAGAAGATACATCCATTCTAACTGATAATTTATTGTGCACTTTGCCAATTTTGATCTTTCCAACTATAGGAATGAGTAGGAGAACAGAGGGGATTATAGAAGTCAAAGAAAATTGCCGAGATGGATTGTTAAGACTAAGAGCTAGTTGGAGATACATTAGAAGCAAAAACAGAAGTAAAAATTGGTACACCTAGATCTAGTTTTCGAGAAATGGGAAATTTGGCTCTCAAGATAGGAACAGAGCCATTAATGTTATTTGATTATGACGATGATGATTGAAGATTCCAAAACATATAGATTGACAAGTATAGATATATATTTGACAATACTGTCACCTTATTACTATCAAAATTGGACAAGTTGGTGACTTTTATACAAAAAAGTTTTCGTGACTATTAAACAAAATGGGAATGAATATTCAAAAACCACAAAGATCGTGCAACAAAGATCCAAAAGAAGAAGATTACTACGACAAGAAGACAAAAAGAAGACGGAAAAATTGTAACAGGTTGAAGAGTACGCTGCCAATACAAAAGAAGTCGAAAACTAGATGGATAGGTAAAATATCACGTAACCCGTTCTTCAACTACCTTTTTGACTTTCGTAGGCAGAATAAGTGGCTTCCAGCGAAAGATGTTCCATTCTGGGGGGCCGTAGAATGGAACAGATTGCCGTTTTCCGAACGACGGATTTACTACAAGATGGCAAGATGCGCTTCGAAAAGTACTTTAGAGAAATACCCGGATACTCGACGTCACAATAAGAAAATAAAGAAGAAAAAGACGAGGAAGAAAACTAGAAGACGAAAAAGAAGAAGAGACGAATGCAATTCTGATGATTCATTAACGATCAGTGTATCTTCAAGTGAAAATGATTCGTCTAGATCAGCCAGGATTTTTGACTCGGTCGAAACTGTTCCCATTTATGATTTGTAGATGAAAATAAAAGTTTGTATACGTGTGTACAAGTTCGACGAAGACAAATGAATAAAATATATTCTAAATTATAATTATTGATAATATATAAAGAACAATTCGAACTTATATGGACCTAATATAAACTGCCCTATTCAACCAAGACGAGTAATATCATGTAAGTGGGAGTACAGCGCCATCTGCAGATTCAATTGTCAATTGTAGAATTTTATGGTGTTTGACAATCGTAAAACAAAACAATAGAGGCAAATACCAACTACAAAATATGTGGTTTTCTAGTCAATAATAAATCGCCCCCCAGTTTTTCACATTTAACAGTGGAACTTGAAGAAAAACAATTATTAATGTCGGTTTATAATCGCGCAATATCAAAAAAAAAAGAAAAACAGTTGGTATTAAGGATCATTTGATGTTTGCACTATACAATATCTAGGTAGACACTCCCTTTGACCTTATTATTAATCAGCAAACAATGACTGATTGGTGTTATTTACTATATTATCGAGCATTTTGTTTGTATTTAGGAGACGCAGTCGAAAGCGAGTTATTAAATTCTATTACCCGTCTTATCTGTGTACAGATGGCCGAATTGCGTGTAGAAGATAATGAATTTCATTGGCCATTTTATTTTGTCGAAACGAAAAAAAAAAACGTGAGTTATTATAACTTTCATAATGATAAAATTAAGTAAACAACACTCTGAAAGGTTTTTTATTACGTTGTACCTAGTCCCACAAATTAACGAATAAAACGCGTAAACAAAAAAAATAATTGTTTAAAAAGGGCATCCCGGCTGTAATTTAAAATTAGGATGAATTTTTTAATTTTCTGAAAATACTTGGTAGATGTATATATATCAACATTACATTTGATATTAGTGATGTCATCATCATCATCAAAAGGTCGTCAGTCCTAATAAGACTGGTGGACACGTATCTCCACTCTTTCCTATCCTGAGCTAAACTTCGCATTTCCCTAAAACTGGAACAACCCATATCCTTAACTATTTGCGAACAGTAATCTAACCTAGGTCTACCTCTACCCCTCCTAACTCCAGTTTTTGCCTCTAATGCGTCTCTGACTAGCCCTTTATGCCTGAGATGGTGTCCTACCAACCTATCTCGCCTATTCCTTATGGACTTCCGTAGTATTCTTTCTAATTACTCTTTAATTCTAACCTTTTCCATCCACGGTATCCTCATCATTCGCCTGTAACATTACATGTCGAACGCTTCTAACCTTTTCTTTTCGGTCGCGCCCTCCGTCCATGTTTCGCACCCGTACAACGCCGTGCTCCAAACATACACCTTTAACAATCTTTTTCGAATTTCTAAATTCGCGATCATAGAAGTGAGTTCTTTTTATTGAAGGCGACTCGACCCTGCGCTATCCTCTGCTTTATATCCCTACTACTCCTTCCATTCTGACTTATCTGACTTCCTAGATACCTAAAATCAGCCAATTCTTCTAATTTTTCGTCTCCTATTTTTATATTCGCCTTTTCCCTACTTTTTCTTCCCTTGCATACCAGTCTTTGTGTCCAGTGTTTTACTCTTATTTGTTTTCATACAATAGTATTTTGCCAAAACTCCTTCTATTTTATTTAAAGCAGTATCTTACTATAGAAAGGCATTGTCATTTTATTTCAACAAAAAGTGCCTGATGTTGAAATATTGGATTGTATTTTAGTTTTATGCGTCCGCCTGGTATATAAAATGTCTTTATTAAGGTCTTTTATTGTGGGGGATGACCAGCTAGTTCTCCGATATTATACAGCCACCCTGTATATGAAAACCAGGAAAGTGCCAATCATTTTCGGTTGGACACGTTTATGATTACACTCGGTATATTTTAAAATCGGATAGCATCAGATTTTTAATTAATTGTCCAATGAAAAGAGCGAGTTCGTCAGTTCGGGTTAGGGATAGAGGAAGCGAGAAAGAGGATTAGAGGAATACGCATCAGTTCGGAGTAGGACTGAAGCACCGAACCCGGAACGAATGGGATCAGTAGTGTTTGCACTGTGAACTCTTAAAGATTCGCGATTCCCAGTTTCGTCCTGGACTATGCCATGTGGAGTGCCCTGGTACGAGGACTAGCCAACTTATTAACTAACAGACAAACACCTCAAGGTATAACGAACCTGTCTTAATAAAAACGTGCTTGATACTTTTGTTTTTGTTTTTTTTTAATTAATGTAACTAATTGGAAATATTTTTTAATTAAGAAACTGGAGCTTTTTTAGATTATTTGTTATTTATGTCGGTAGTCTAAAACTTTTGAATCTGAATTTTTCAATAAGTGCATGATAGTTTTTGAATTTTAAAAAGATGTTCTCTTAAAAACAATAAATTTCACTTTACGTACTTTTCCAAAAGCACAAAACAAAACCGCTAAAATTACCTGTTTAAAACTTTAAACACTGAAAGATAATAGCAATTTCACTAACGATAAGTATGAAGAAGCTTTTCCTTGTTTTCATTGTTATCTTTTAAAACTTCCTTTCTTTCTTTCTGAAAACAAAAAATTGCCTGTATCAAAAACACATTTAGGTAAAAGCTTTAAATGAATAATGGTTTGGTATCTACTACAACATTAAATATAAGTAGCATCACACGTATCTCTCCTTTAGCAGTTTTGTTTATAAAAGCTTTCCGGGACTTTCCCTAATGCATGTGTAGCCTAATTCGTTAAGAAATAAAATTGAAAGCAAAAGAATCCAAGAGATTTGAAACTTTAGCGTTATTGGAGAACACACGCTAAATATCTGAAACTCCAAAACACAAAGCATTATTCGGTAACGCAGTTACCTTCTTCAGGGACCGAAGAGAGAACTGCTTAGTCCCCGAAGAAGGTAACTTTGTTACTGAAAAGTGCTATGTGTTTTAAGCTATTTTATGCGTTCGAAAGTAAAAGAATGTTATTAAATCCTTATTGAATGAATATAAGCTGTATTTAAAAATAGATCGTATAGAAATAAGTATAAATTAAGCATTTTGCAACAATTTAATCAAGTTCTTCTCGTATGTGTGGCTACATAAACCTTTTTAAATCGCTTCCAAACTTTGTTGTTGTTCGGTAAAATAATTCCCGTAGGAGGGCTCACTATCTTAACTAGGGTATTTTATGGGGAGGCATTATTAAATATTCATTAAATTTTCAACAACAAGTAGACTAATATCTATGAGAATTTCGTAAATTTTGTTTATCTCCACTTAACAAATTCGTTATTTATTCTTAAAATTATCTTTCCAAACGTTTATTAAAATCACTTATAAAAACAGAAAGAAACAGTTAATGTAAGTCCTAATTTGATGCAGATATAAACAAAATTGTTGTATACCTAACATTCTTATAAATAATTCAAAAGGCGGTCTCTTTTTTCATCTTTTCCTAATTTCAAGGATGTTAATGGCTATTTTACGTGAAATTAAACGCTTATGTGTCCATTGTTATTAGGTAACACTCATCAATTTTGGCTCTTAAATCTTAATTGAAGTTACACTTGAACTAACGGCAAACAAAACTTTATAATAACTAGTAATTAGAACACGTAGTAGCAATCCCCTAAGTCTTCTACTTAGTTAGCTGAGGATTAGTCTTTTGATTTACGAGCAAATTACCCGGCTGGCTTTGAAGATCTTCTCATCAAGTTAACCGTATTTAAACTGCTTAAAATTAACATTTTCAAGGTTGCAAATATTTATGGTTACCTATATGTGTACCATTGGTTCCTTGGAAAATTTTAAGTCTCTTTTACTTTTTGATTTTTTTTTAATTCGGCTTGTAATAAGCGAGTTATTGAAGACTGACCAATGACAAACAGCTGCAAATCGAAGTAGGCACAGCTCGTGTTTCAATTGTTAGCAGCTCTTCGCTGGCGTACTTCGATTTGCAGCGATTTGCTGGATTCGACTTGCTGCAAACGAAGTACGTCGCGATTGATTCAACTATGTTTACCAATTACTCGCTTATTAATGATCGTATTAAAAAACTGAAAAGGAAACAACTACTTAGAATTTTATAAGGAATCTGGAGTGTTAATAAATTTATTGTTTTATTCAAATTTATTGTAAAATTTTGTAGAAACGTTGAGAAATCCCCTTTGTAAATTCTCATCTCGTATTAAGTTGTATAAGTATACCATTATAATTTATAACCGCTTATCTTTATAAGGGTGAAAGACGTAATAGTGTAAAGTTCACGGCAACATTAGACAGAACAAATAATATACCCCATGCTACAATAATATTTTCTGAAACTTTAATGCTCATTTTACAGTCTCTTTGTCACGTACATGTAGCAACATAAAATGCAATCTTGGAAAAAGGGCGATAATAACTTTGTAGGTAAATGTTTTACGACGATGTTGTTCAAGACCATTCCCTAGATAGTAAACTGTGAAAAACAGAGGTATTTTTACAAATAAGACAATTAAAAGTGAAGCTGTGCCTGTAATATCCATTGTTATTGGTAAAGTTGTTTAGAACAATTCGAAAACTTCATAGCCGAACATAATGTAGAAACAATGTGCTTTCAAGTTTAACGGCAAATAAGGTGATAATTTTATTTATCTCCGTTTATTTCTATATATGTATATACCAGTGTACCTATATATTAAGTTGGGTTTCGTTTATTAAATTCCACGTCACGTTTTCTAGATCGATAACAGCCCTAACGAAAAACCACTTTTTATATGTATTAAATCTTTGAATTCTTACAGAACGTTCAGGTATTATGTTATGGGCCTTGACCTTTCCCGGCCAAACCGTAGCCAATGTCCCTGTTTACAACAAAAACACAATTTGAAAAACTAACTAACTAGATATAATGTTTACTTACTGTAATTGTTATAGTAGATTAGCAACGTTATTTGCACTTCGCATTTATTGTAGCCTATATTGCGTTCGCATATGTACATGACCATCTAGATATGCAAACATACACATTATGTATAGGTACATTTTATTTCGTTGCTTTTGTTATCGTTAGTGAGGTGCTTTTGGTGTTTTACGTAGCGCCATGAGCTTCTAAAATAGTCATTTCTTTGTCGACGAAATTTGTAGGAATGCAATCAAGTAGAAGGGGGTCTGATCGGGTACCAACACCCCCAGTTTGTGGAATTACCGGACTCACAGGTACGTTAAAAAATAAAGCAATAGTAAAATTATCCTAAATCGAATTTATTGTACAACTAGTTCTTCCCCCTTATCGGTCACTGTGAGCTCGAAACTGAAAAATTAAATTTAAAAAAATTGTTTGTAAACAAGTATGCAACACATCGTACACTTCAGCATAAGAAATTGCTGATACTAACTACGTAACACTACTTTGTCCTCATAATTTCATTTATATATAATATTACATAATGTTATAATATAGAGTGGACTTATTGAGCTACTTTGACCATTGTTTATTACAGTATCCATACATACTGTAACTTCTTATTCAAAATCGTCACCTTCGGGACCCATATTACCTTTCGTAACTGTCTTCTATAAGTTGTTTTGTCACCCTGTATATAATTTTTTAAATCAGCCAGCCAAGTGTCTAATTATTTGAGAGCGAACCAAGATTTTTTGGAGCGCTTCGTGACCGAGGAGGTCGAACTCGAGCAGTTGGAGAGATGGCTGATAAGGAGGTCGCAACAGCTGAAGAGGAAGGAAAAAGAGACATCGTCGACGAAGAATAATAACAGTAGCGGCAGGAAAACGAGTTTGTCCAGGTGGAAATTCTGCGTGCATGCGGACAAAAGACAAATGCTGCTCGATTTAACTCACAGTTTGCAGCTGAAACCCACCAAGGATCACGTTCTTTGGGAACTGGCCAATTGTATATGTTCTGCTGTTAATGCGGATGGATTCAGGTACAATTTGATTTAGTTTTAACCGTCGTGCTGTAGGTATTTGGCCAAAGTGTACGGTGTTTTAACTGTAGTATACAAGAACATATTTTTTAATACTTTGCTACGCGATGAGTCTCGTTCAATTGTTTTGTTATGCAGCCAGCTGTACACGCGAATATAGGCATTCAAACCCGCTCATTTTTTTCCAATTGTTTTCTTCCGCCTCGAATGCATTAAAACTGATTCTGATTAAGTAAAGCAAACACGTTTTATTTTTTTCGTAAATAGCCAAATAAACTCTCGGATTTACAAAATCCTGCTAGGATTCAGGTACAATTTGATTTAGTTTTCACCGTCGTGCTGTAGGTATTTGGCCAAAGTGTACGGTGTTTTAACTGTAGTATACAAGAACATATTTTTTAATAAGCGAATACTTTGCTACGCGATGAGTCTCGTTCAATTGTTTTGTTATGCAGCCAGCTGTACACGCGAATATAGGCATTCAAACCCGCTCATTTTTTTCCAATTGTTTTCTTCCGCCTCGAATGCATTAAAACTGATTCTGATTAAGTAAAGCAAACACGTTTTATTTTTTCGTAAATAGCCAATTAAACTCTCGGATTTACAAAATCCTGCTAGGATTCAGGTACAATTTGATTTAGTTTTCACCGTCGTGCTGTAGGTATTTAGCCAAACTGTACGGTGTTTTAACTGTAGTATACAAGAACATATTTTTTAATAAACCACATGTTCCAATACTTTGCTACGCGATGAGTCTCGTTCAATTGTTTTATTATGCAGCGAATATAGGTATTTAAACCCGCTCATTTTTTTCCAATTGTTTTCTTCCGCCTCGAATGCATCAACACGTTTTATTTTTTCGTAAATAGCCAAATGCACTCGGATTTTACAAAATCCTGCTATATAGTGAAAATTGTGTTAAACTATCGTCTTACTCTTTGCTTTCGTGCTTCATCATTGGCACATTGACACAAACTTTTATGGATGTATAGCATCTCGACTTTTCGGAAAGTTTTATTGAGAATGACAAGACTTTGGATGCTGTAAAGTTGTTACTTTTCGTATCTAAAAGCACATCGTCTATCTAGCTCAACTTTTGAGATTAAATTTTATACCTTCTTATGACTTGAGACTGAGTAATAAGTAAGTAAGTTAATACCGAATCGAAATTGCGTTGACAGCACGCGAACGAACTTCTTTAGCACTTACTTTACTTCTACCCTTTACTAAAACTGATTCAATTTTCTTTAAAAGGGATACAATAGAGCATAGGAATTCAATAATACAACAGACAAAATACTTGTACGATATTCACGGTAGCTATTCAAACCGTAATTTCATTTTTGTAATGCGAATTCTCTTCTGTATTGTTTTTGCTTCGATATTGTCGGAGAAATTTCGTCGCAGTTCAAACAAAACAAAATTAGCACCCTCTTGTTTGGAGGGTCTGAAAGGGAAAGTAAGGTCACACAAATAGGACACAAAGAGACTATTTAGAATCCTAAAGGCGTAGTTCTACCTTTGCGTATATTCATCGGTCTCATTAATAATCCACAAACAAAGCTTTTCTTCCTAGGTTCTATTTGGCAGTCAAAGAAAGACAGACGTTGTGTATTAAGTACGATATCTTAATTATTCATACTGGTCTTAGAGGGTCTCTTTACCTTCTTCTTCGTCTTCTTAACATTAATTATGTATATTTTTAAATAAACTACTTGAGAAATTTTCAGATTGTATATTGCTGAACACAGCAATGCTCATAATTTGTTCCTTTATCAAGAAAACTCCGATAACTCGGATATTTCGAAAAAAGAGAAAGCAATAACAGGGAAAACGGTACCGACTTATGTGGCCCGAACTAGAGAAGCTGTGAGGCTGTCCAGGAATAATACAGACAATAGATTTCCCAACGCTTTTACAGGACTTGTGAGGACAAATAATCGCTTCTTTAAAACTACCCTTGCTGATTTTAAAAAAATTTCGTAGAGTCAAGCGGCGCATCTCCAGTGTCAAGCTGTGCTACAACCCGATGGTCAACTCGTTGCGGTTTTGGAACTTTGGAGGAAGGAGGGTGATACGCCCTTTTATGAAGAAGACGAAGAAATTGCCTCTAGCTATATAGTTTGGGGTGGTGTTGCGTTACATTACGCCGAACTGTATTTTTCGATGAATCAGCAAAGAAGATTAAATGATTTTCTATTGGCTGTCGTCAAGTAAGCAGATTATTTGCTGTAAAGTATTTTAAAGAAGGCTTTTCACAAGATAGATGTTTTAATTTCGAAAGGAGGGATCCCATTTGAAGTTATGACCCGTTAATTAACATTGGGATTTCATTTTTCATTATTAAGTTTTTTAATATTGAAAGATTTTTTTAATTACGTAAAAAATTAATGCTTAATTATACCTATCTGCTTTTTGATTAAAAATATCGCAGGTAATTAAAATGTTTCAATTAACTACAACATCTGGCGAAACTTAAGAAAACTTTGAAGTCTATATTAATATTTTTCTTAAATTTTTACTACATCACCTTGGAATATCCAATAGAAATCGAGTTTTTTGCAGTATTTGTTCCTATATATTTCCTAATAGCTTTTCTCATTCTTTAAATCATCTATCTCTGTCAGTAGTCCTATCCCAGAGTCTTCCTGGCCCTTCAGACTGTCTTATTTCCTACTTTTTAGATCTATTTTCCAAGACATGGTCAGTATGGACATCTTGGTGACGAAAATCATGAATTTTGCTCAGAGGTTGGTGGATGCAGACAGAGCATCGTTGTTCCTTCTGGATTCGAAAAACAAAGAACTGTATGCCACTATTTTTGACGTGGGGCTTGAAACCTCTCGCGAGAATGTTGACGACGATAGCGAAGAAAATGCTAAAAAAGCCAGCAATAACACTTCGAAAGAGATTAGGTTTCCGTTAGGAACTGGTATCGCAGGCCAGGTTGCTATGACCGGGGAAGTCCTCAATATTACTGACGCTTACGCCGATGAAAGGTTTAACAGGACAGTGGACCAATTAACGGGATACAGAACAAGGACCATACTTTGCATGCCCATATTTATAAGAGGGTCCATTATCGGTAAATATAACTGATTTTTCTTGTCTTCCTTTGCCAGGGGCAGATCTATATTTTTGATTTGTAACATCTTTCTGAAATCATGGTAGATAATAAAATTTTGGAGCGTCATGGTCTAAATGATCTGTAAGGCTAACATCTTCAGTGGTATTGTGTTAGCAACATCGAGACCAAAAGGTTATTTAGACCATAATCCTTTAGACCAAATCATAATTCTACTAAGGATTATGGTCGTGAAACTCTATGTTCTTTTGCTATGGTAGTAATTTTTTGATGATAATTTCTGCACATGGGACTTGAAGAGGCAGAGAGAGAAACGGAGAAAGAAGACACAGCTGACACCCCATCGATCTAGTAACCTTGATCTACTACAACATACTGTCGTGTAATTTATTAATATCTTGTTTGTTGTTGATATTACACATCATTTGACAATAACAATTTCTTCATTGTTTCATGTACTTATTGTAAATTGTTTCAACTTTTCCATTTCGAACTCACTCTTATTTTGTAATCCAATCCAATGTTCTCTGCTTATTTTTGTGTGGTTTCGTTTTCGACGGTACCACATTTGTCAATTTTCTGCAATTTTATTTGTACACCTGAGACCATTCGTTTCCAAAGTTGAGGTCAGCTGAACGTCAAAAATTACTAAGAATGATATCTCTCACAGAGGTCGTTACCTTTTGTTATATATTTGAACTAGGTTGGTCTAAGGGTGTCATCAATCATGTTCTTTCTGACTTCATCCTTCGGCTGCTGCGTCCGTTTGCAATAAGAAAAAAGCTGCAGGATAATATAATAAGTTATCCCTTTTCTAACTTTGTGACGTAAAGGAGCCCAAATTCAAATTGCAATTTAAAAAACAGGACTTAATTGAAAAAAACTTCATCCAGTCTAACACAACTTGGCTTACTCAAAACTATCAACTCCTACAAATATGAATCAATTTTCTGTATCCTGTACTTATTAAGGATCATTTCTTTAAGGGTTGACGGAAATTTAAGAACCCAATCTGACCCGATTTAACCTTCTTGTACTTAACATTTTAGCGAGCACGAGTGTTTGTGTGCGTGAACGGCTTATCGATTCGCCGACTAGCCGCGGGCACCTTTCTTCATGTGCGCTGTATTTGTAAATGTGTGTTTCGCACCTGCGTTCTGGGAAAGCAGTCAAACAGTTCAAAGAAAAAATAAACTATCCGGATGTTTCTAGCATGTTCCAGAAAGTAAACAAAAGAGTATTTAAAAGAAAAGACGATCGCCGAGAGGAAGAAGAAATGTTTTTAAGTTCTTTAATAATTAGTGTAAATAAATAGTTTTTGTCGTTATCAGTCTTAGAAGTTAATTTTGTTAAACCCACGAACGTTACAATATGATAACTTTATCCGATTTCTTTTCATAATCTTTTCCGTGGTACACTCTCATGTGTTTATTCAGGATCGTTTGTTTAAGGGGTGGTGCAAATGGTGAACAAACGTACAGGGTCTTTTACAAAAGACGACGAACAAGCGTTTGAAATGTTTGCAGTGTATTGTGGCCTAGCTCTGCACCATGCAAAGTTGTACGATAAAATTCGTAAATCAGAGCAAAAATACAAAGTCGCTCTTGAAGTCCTCAGTTATCACAACAGTTGTACGGAAGACGAAGTCGAGACTGTCCAACAAAATAAACTGCCGGAGAAGGTTGAGGTACTAATCGACGATTACTACTTCAACCCCTTCCAGTTGGAAGATTATGAAAAAGCAGGGCAAGTATACAATAAATATGCTTTTTGTATATGTTTGGTGGCTCTGGTCTTGGTGGTCGCCCCACCAATTCTATGCCAAAAAAGTATAAATCGTGACGCATACTTACATTATTTGGTATGTATTACATGGTTTACCTATTTTTTTGTTAATAGGCATGCCATTTACATGTTCACTGACCTGTTCGGCCTGTCCAGGTTCGATAAACAGAGCCTGCTGCGATTCACCCTGACCGTTAAAAAAAACTACAGAAGAGTGCCGTATCATAATTGGGCGCATGGGTTTTCCGTGGCCAATTGCATGTACACCATTATTAAACATTCTGGAGGGGTGTTTCAGACAAATGAGGTGATTTTAAAGAAATACAAACCCAACTTAACCTAACCTAACCAATATAAATGCGAGTGTTTGTTTGTTTATTACTACTTCACGCCTTAAACATTGAACCGATAATCTTAAAATTTTGTACACACATTGCCAGGGGTATTTAAAAGGACATAGGGCACCTTTCATACAGAAAAGAATTACTGTTTCCGAAAGATAGAAAAATTAGTTTTATGGGTTCGTCGATGACCTATCACACGAACTTAGGACATCAATAAATAAAAACAACAAGAAACTTCATCGAGCCATAAATACTTTCTGTTTAATAATATGTTCCAAAGTTTTGAGCGTCCCGACGCCGGCGTCGTACGACAAGCAGACATTCAAAACTCAAAAAACGACAGACTCATTTAATTGTATTAAACTGTTGCTAATTTTAATTGCCGAATACATTAAACGACAGTTAATACTTTGGGAAACAATAAACATTATTTATTTATGAGTACTTTGTTCATAAAATTTTCGGCAACAATCGTAAAACGGTTGACAGATCCGAACGGACAATTTTATTACTTCCATTACGTAGTAAGCTGTGCATGCATATGTAGCTATAGACAGATAATTTCCCCGTTTCCGGTTTTAAAGTGTAATCACTTCAACGAAATTGCACGCTAATAAAATTGCAAGCTGTAAACTTTGATTACCAAACTTTGTGGAATCCCGTTGGGTTTGGGGCATTTACCGGATTTCGTCATAAAATGCTTTTTTATAAACTTTGGTGACTCAACAAACTCTCCCCGAACTATCTACAGTCACCCATGTACCCAGGGGCGTATCAAGGACATATCATAATTGATATTCTGTGCAATTTTTTATTTTTTATTTTGTGAGTTAACTATATAGAGTGATGGAATTACTTGACAATTATATAGGTACTTGTTTTGTCATCATCGTAGGGTCGTTAGCCCTAAAACTCTTTCTTGCCTTGAGGCCTGTATTCTCCTAGCCGCGTCAACCGTCTACGTTTCGCACTCATACAGAGCTGTGCTCGAGATATAGATTTAGATTCGATTTCCTAAATTGGTCGTTCGTGAACGTTAAAACCTATTCAACTCTGCGTTATCCTTTGTTTTATACCTGTCCTTCTATCCTGAACTATCTGACATTCTAGATACTGAAAATTAACGACTTTATATTCCCTCTTTCCTTACTTTGTGTTCCATTGTATACCAATATTTCTGTTTCACTTTTATTATTTGAATGCCGTACTACTTTGTCAATAACGTTTCCTTAAATTAGAGAGAAATAGAAACCTTTATTCCAGGGTCTTGCTCTTTACATAGGATCATTGTGTCATGATTTGGACCACAGGGGTAAAAATAATAAATTCATGTTGGAATCTGCGTCTCCCATAGCGGCTATTTACTCCACATCGACCATGGAGCATCACCACTTTAATCAAACTGTTACGATATTACAACAGGTACAAAGAAAAACGTGTTTCTTATCAATTCTCTTACTTGTTAGAATAACGTTTTCAGGAAGGGCACAACATTTTCGCGAAATTGTCGAACTCCGAATACAAGCAAATGTTAGGATTGTTGAAGCATTGCATTCTCGCCACCGATCTGGCACTTTTCTTCCCTAACAAAGCGAAATTGACGGAAATTGTGGAACAAAAGGCCTTTTCTTGGGACGACGAAGAACACAGATTGCTCTTATTGGCCATTAGTATGACATCGAGCGATTTGTGTGCCAGCGCAAAACCGTGGGACATTCAAACCGAAACCGTCAAAGTCATTTTCGAAGAATTTTATCAACAGGGTGACGCTGAAAGAGCAGCTGGGAGGCAACCGATACCCATGATGGACAGGTAATCAGAAAACAGGTTTGAAGACATTTTGGGTCACTAAATGTGTTCTTAAATGGGTTCTTCAGGGATCTTAACAATCTTCATCATCAGTCCTAAGACTGGTTGGACACGCACCCCCACTCTTTTCTATCCTGAGCTAATCTTCGCATTTCCCTGAAACTACAACAACCCACATCCTTAACTATCTGCGAACAATAATCTAATCTGGGTCTACCTCTACCCCTCCTAACTCCCGTTTATGCCTCTAATATGTCTCTGACTAGACCTTTATGCCTGAGAAGGTGTCCTACCAACCTATCTCGCCTATTTCTTATTGACTTCCATAGAGTCCTCTGTTCTCCTATTCTTTCCAATACCTCTTCATTTCTAACCTTCTCTATCCACGGTATCCTCATCTTTCGCCTGTAACACGACATTTCGAACGCTTCTAACCTTTTCTTTTCCGCAGCGCCCACCGTCCATGTTTCGCACCTTTTTCTTTCTTTTTCGAATTTCTAAATTAACCGTTCACGAACACAGAAGTGAGTTATTTTTATTGAAGGCGACACGATCCTGCGCTATCCTCTGCTTTATATCCCTACTACTCCTTTCGTCCTGACTTATCTGACTTCCTAGATACCTAAAATCGGCCACTTCTAATTTTTCGTCTCCTATTTTTACATTCGCCCTTTCCCTATTTTTTCTTCCCTTACATACCGGTATTTTTGTTTTACTTCTATTTATTTTGAAACAATACTGTTTTGTCAATACCGCTTCCATTTTATTTAAAGCTATCTCTAACTCCTCTATGCTAGATGCTAATACTGCTATATCATCTGCAAATCTAAGCATACTAATCTTTTAACCGTGTATATCAATCCCTACAATTGTACTATATTTAATGGTGTTCATCTTAAATCTTATAAATATAAAATCCGTATATTTGTTTTTGGTTCGAGCTTACATGGATTTAAAGTGGTCAATTAGAACCAATAGTAAATCGAGGAATACCAGGACGTTTTATTTCAGCTTTGAGGTCTAAGTTTCCTTCCAGATACCAGCCTGACCAGCAAGCAGCTTCTCAAGTAGGATTTCTGACTGGCATTTGTATACCTTGTTACACCCTCTTGTATACCATCATACCTGAAACGAAACCATTATTGGATAAATGCAACGAAAACTTGAGGAGATGGCAAGAGATAGATCGCGAAGTCCAGGAAAAAAAGAAACTTGGAGGGGATATTTGAGAACTACTCTTCATCCCCTAACAATAACGTCTGTCAGGTATTTGATGATAGGATTAGCGATCTGGTTTAATCGAATTTTTAGCTCTTTTAAATTTCTTTTTATTCTTCTCTAGTCGTTTAATAAAAATAATATTATATGTTACGTATGTGAGAAAAGAAAAGAAAACGATTTTATTAAAACATAACATGGACCAACGCCATATATTGTAGACGCATATCTGTAAGTAGGTTACTACTAATTAAAAGTAGTAAATAGTAACATAAAACAAAACTTCTTATACTTATACATAAATGTATGTAGTTTTCACAATACATATTATTTATTTATCTAATTATTAATTATATTTTTGTACTCTTTATATCTCAAAAACTGAAGGATAGTTTGTACAAACTTCTAGTCATTGTTTAAAATGTTACTGTTGTAGAAGACTAATTAAACGAATCTAATTATGTAGTTGTTCAATTATTAATATTGTATATGCATCCTGGTATGTTGACCAAGTTTTAAAAAAAGATAAGTCTACTACTTCCAGACAATTCTTCTAATTCTAGTAATATTTATCTAGGTTGAAATAAATATGAAATACTAAGGTTTACAACCCCATACTACAGCAAAAATTATTTTAAATTATGCAATAAAAATACATAGATTTTGATTTATAATGAGAAATCAGTTGAGCATTTCTATCAATTCCCAGAACTTTTAACCCTGTTAAACTACAGACGTAAAATTAGTATGGAATACTTTTAGGCTTTCGGGTTTACGTTATAAAAAGATGCTGCAGCTTTTAAATTGCGAATTTTGACTATTTTAAAATACATAGTGAAACCATTTCGAGAATTTTTTGTCCAACCTCGAAACTTTTAGGTCTGTTAAAATGGAGATTTGAAATTCATCATTATAAAGTTATCAGTTCTAAAACTGGTTGGACACGCACCTCCACTCTTTCCTATCCTGAACTAATCTTCACATTTTTCTAAAATTAGAACATCCCGCATCCTTAACTATTTGTGAACAGGTATCCTAGTTAGATCTACTTCTACCCCTCGTAAGTCCTGTTTCTGCGCCCAGTAAGTCTCTGAGTAGCCCTTTATACCTAAAAAGGTGTCCTACCAAACTATTCCGCCTACTTCTTATTGACCTCAATAGGGCCCTCCGTTCTCCTACCCTTTCTGACCTATTTGAAATTCCTACGAAATATTACTTATAACATACCCAGTAAATATTCCAGTTTTTTTACTCTATGCATTGGAGAGATATAGCCTTACAAAATTAGCCTATTTTGATGCTTATCAAAACTTGCAGGATGCTCAATTTGTCCTGCAGGATTCCACATCGTTTGTTTTAATATAATTAATAACGCTTTAATATTCCCGCTCTTCAGAATGTTCCCTTCAGTTCTGTCACCCTTTATAAAATATACACGTGTGTTTGACTTATGTTTCCTATTAATCCTTAATTTACCATTCGAGTGCGCCGCCTATGGCAGGCGTTACGCTTAACCGAGTTTTAATCCAAAGGTGTAGCGATAAGTCCCGATCGCGTTCGTTTGAAGCCTGTACAGCTATCTCCCTTTGTAAGCAAGTTTCTCTTTCTTTCTTTGTCCTTCGAACTTTTATAATTAAATAGGAAATTAGGAATTATCTTACGTAAAACAGTAAACAAAAGATCGCGAGAGGTTTCACGCCAGAGACAGACAGCTACAGTAGAATTAGAGACATCCAACAAACGCGTAATTTAATAAAAAACAGAAAACAGAACAAGTCTCGAAGTCATGTTATAATGTATACTGTACATAATATAATACTATAATACAATATCGCTGTAATACGTTCGTAATCTTGGTGATAAGCCAAGTCTGTGTGCCTAAAATGTGTCTGTAATAAAATAAATTCTGTGAAGTTCCTCGATATGCTTCAGAGATAGAATTAATGTAATTAATGAAATGAGTAATGTTGCTTATCGTCGTGGTAAGTGATTTTTTGCGTACTTATATTTATTTGATTGTTAAACTAAAATGATTGCGATTATTGTATATTGTTTTAATACATTTATATTTAAACTATTTCATACTATAAATATAAATGTGTTCAACAATACAACAGAATAAATATTTACTAGTTATTTTGCGCTTAAAAAATAATTGAATTTTCTGAAACAACAATAATAAATGTAACTATGATTGATCTATATAGTAATTTGTGGTCTTTTTTGATAACAAAGACTAAAAGGTTATTATTCCTTTGAATGTAGTAAAATTATCTTGTGTCGCATAAGTTTTCTCTTTTGATATATCGTCTTTTATTGTCATGTATGTACTAGATTGACCTCATGTAGAAAACAAAGAAACTTCAGTGGCGTAGCATGTGGTGTTAAAATCTTTTAATAAAATATCGTTCATAAAATAATTTGAAACGCTTAAAAATATATTTTTAGGTATCGAAGACAGCTTTGAAGAAAGCAATGACAGTAGCAGTTGTTTGGGACTTACCACGATATTCCTGTTGGGAGTATGTTTTGTTTTAGGGACTTGTAGTGGAATATATTTAATTATGACAGAAGGTATATATAAGAAGACTAGCCAAATAGTTCACTACAATTGTTACAAACTAGCAGCCCTTTTTTGTAGAATGTTTTTTAACTTTAAATGTTTCAGATATTTTTCGTCAAGGGCAAATTTTTACTATAGTACCAAATAACGAATGGAATTTCGAAAAATCGCAACAATATCTTCGATTACCAGCAAAAAAGATTTTTATTGCAGCAACGAACGCCAGTAATTGTTTTGGACAAGACAATAATTGTCCTCGAATTTTCAAAAAAGTTACCAAAGACAAACTTAAAATGTTGTACAATTTTTTAGTAAATAAGGACGGTGTGATATTGGAAGGGTTAGGATGGTACCATCCTTGTCAGCAGTCTCCTAATTGTGATGATTCATCGATAAGCTTTGCATTTATGGGTACGTCGGATTGGGTTTGGTTTGGTTCGGTTAGGTTAAATAAAATAATTTCGAAGTGGTCTGTATTCTGTCGAAACTGCCAGACGCGGATCGCGATTTCGATCTTTTTGGATCTCATCAGCGCGTCGCAGGCAGCTCCGACAGAACACAGACCAAC